AACAACAACAACAACAACATATGGCTCATGGGATGGATGTTCACCACCCCTGCTGTAGAGGGTTTCCGAGGCTATAAATCTTTGCTGGAGCAGAAAGCTTCATCTTCTCCCATAGAGCAGATGGTGAGCCTGAACTGCTAACCTTGTGGTTTGCAGTCTAGTGTTTACCTTACAGAGTCATTGCGTTCCCTAGTATGGTGTTAAATCCCGTTGAGTTGGTTTCCACTCACAGCAACCCCTGTATAAGGTTTCTGAGGAGTGGCTAATGAGTTTCAACTGCTGACCTTGAGGTTCAAACCGACCTTGCAGTTCAGTGCTTAATCCTTCAGTGCCACACCAGAATGCCTCCCTAGTATAGTGCTTGGAATATAATAAAACACAAATGGGAGCTATTTATTAAATGTTTTAATTTCTAGATTTGCATTAAAAGTATCACTGTAAATAGATTTTTAAGTAGTGAGTGATCACGTGCAATATTAGTAAATTTTTCTACCAGATAAAATAAACTCTCTAAGAAACATAATTTTATTCAATGAATAAATTCACTTTTTTATTTAGATTGATAAATTTGTAACCTAGAGGAATATTTCATTTAATAATCAAAGAATGTTGTTGTGTGCTGTCAAATTGGGTCTGACTCATGGCAACCCAGTATAGTTTCCAAGGCTGTAAGTCTTCATGGGAATAGGAAAGCCTTATCGTTCTTCTGCAGAGCTGCTTATGGGCTTGACCACCGGACCTTGTGGTTTTCAGCCCAGTACGAAGGAGCCACCATGTTTTAATGTCTTCAGATAGTTATTAAGCTATCCAGTGTCGTTCATTTAACCAGAAAGAAAGCTATATTGGCTATCTCTAAGGTCACTCATTATCAGATCTAAATAGCAGCTAAGGTTTATTGAGTGTTTCTATGAGCAGGTGCTATGCTAGGCACTTTGCATGGATTCTCTATTAAATCTTACTTGTGGAGAATTGGTACTATTATTGTATTCATTTTACTGATGAGGAAATTGGCATAGAGGAGTAACTTACCTAGGGATGTGCAACTAGTAAGTGGCTGAAAGTGGCAGTGAAATGAGGCAGTCACACTCCAGGGTCTGTGTTTTTGACCATTACCCTGTATGTCTCAGTTGTTGTAAAGTGCTGTTGAGTCCATTCTGACTCATAGTGACTCTGTATAGGGTTTCCAAGGCTGGTGGGTTTGAACCACCGACCCTGTTCTACAGAGCCACACCAGGACTCCATGACCCACATAGTGCATATTTTTCACAGTAGTACATTTTTAACACTACCTGGATTGATTCCTTTCTTCCTTTAGTCTCTCAACAAATATGAGTTATTTTTTATTAGTTAAGTATTAGTTATGTTGAATAAGAAGTTACAGTCCTTGTTCTCATGGAGTTTAGAGCCTGCTTAGACTACAAAGAACAAGTAAAATAATTATGAATTGCAACATGAAGAAAACATACGGCATTGGTAATAGAAGAGATGACCCCAGGGCTAAGAGGGTTATCGAAGGCAGAGGGGAACCTGCTCTAAGTGGATCAGAGAAGCCATCTCTTACATGTCATCTCAGCTATAATCTAAAGGAGGAGCATGGAGTAGTTAATCAGCCTTTCAGGGTTTTTAGCAGATGACCATGTGATTGTAATTTGATCTGCTTTGTTTTGTGAAGGTAAGGAGTGCCGCTGAATAGACATGAGGATGGAGAGGTTCAGAATAGACACAAAGACCAGATCAGTTTATGGTGGGAATCTGTAGTGCCTTAGACGAGGGTGGAGATGGGAAAAAAAACAGATTTAGAAGGTGAAATTGATAGGGCTTGGATGTGAGGGAAATAATGTATTTAGGAATTGGAAGTAAGAGGTTTGGGTTAGGGGTTTACATTTGAGAGACACTAGCACCGACTTCTTTTTAAAGCTTTAGGAATTTATTTACTAAAAAAATAAGGATGTCTACAAAAGAAGACCCCCAATGAGATGGATGGGCCAAGTGGCAGCAGCATCATCATGGGCTCAAGCATGGCAATAATAGTGAGGTTGGCCCAGGATCAGGCAGTGTTTCGTGCTACTGTGCATAAAGTCGCTATGAGTCAGTACTGATTCAATAGCACCTAACAACAACAACAACAACATGAAGGAGAGAAGACAGTTTGAGGGAGATGAGGGCATTTCCAAGGGAGTGTGACCATATCAATGGGGAACCTGGGCTGGACCAGCACAGATGGTGAGAAAGGGTAGGATCAGTGAGCCTTGGTAAGGTCAGGGTTTACAGCAGTGGAAATACTTTAGCAAGTAAGAATTGGACATAGTGATCAGAGAGAGTGGGTTTTCAGAAGTAGTCCCACCTGTTAATACCATGGTTCAGATTATCACCGTGAGCTGAGAGCATGTGGTATAAAGATCGACAGGAATAAGAATACCCAGATATTACCCATTTAATCTCGATTTTCTTTCAGGGAGGTCATGATTTTCATGAAGGCGTTAGAGCAGGTAAGTGAGAAAATGTTTTCTTCTGGCTTTTATGAAAATAGGATTCATTATATACTCTTAATCATGAAAAAATGGAATTGAAAAATAATGGAAGTGTTCCATGGATCGAAGCCCCCTCTTATTGAAGTGAATATTTAACTTTAATAGAGAGTGTGTAAGGTTTTTGTTTTTTGTATTATCAATTGGAATAAAAGGGGCAATCAGTCTTTGAAACTAATAATGCTCAGAAAATTCATGTAACTGAGCCACTACTCCCTTGTTTACATGTAAGAAGTAATCCTGCTCTTAAAGTCACATGGGGTGCCTATAATAAGGAGGGGTAACATGAGTTTGTAAACTCATTTTGCTGCTGAAGCCTTTGAGCATTCATTCCCTTGCAGAAAGTCCTCAAATGGCTCATCCTTTTCTCCCTCTTTTTCACTGCTGGGTACATTCCCAGCAGTGGCCAAATCCACCATCAACCTTCTTTCCTACACCAGAGCACTTAAACAGAGCTATTTAAAATCATATGACGTAAGTACTTACATGACGTAGAGTCTTCAGAAGTAAGCGCTGTGCTCAAACCTTTTAAAGAGGACATATGGAAATATGGAATTGAATCAGAGGAGATGCTTCTATGTTTTACTGAAACCAAGTAAAATACCTCTCCCTACTGTTGTTAAGAGTCTTTGAGTTGATTCTGATTCATAACGGCTCTGTGTAGCATTTCTGAGGAGCAGCTGGTAAACTTGAACCACCGACCTTGTGGTTCAAACCAATTTTGCAGTCCTGTGTATTAAGACACAGCACCACATCAGGACTTCTAATTTCATATAAATCATTGCTGTGTGTGGATCAGAGCCTAGACTTCTGATAAGTAGGGTTTGTATGTTTCTTGGATGATGTTGCTAAAGTAAATTATTTAGGGTTCATTATACTCTATAATGTTGTTGTTAACTGTTGTCGAGTTGATTCCAACCCATAGCGACCCTGTATAGGGTTTCCGAGGAGCAGCTGGTAAGCTTGAACTGCCAACCTTGCAGTTCAAACGGCTTTGAAGTCTGGTGCATTAGCCCACAGTGCCACACCAGGACTCCAATATAGCTGTTCTTAAACTAAAAAAAGAGGTAAATAATGCTTTCAGATGAATATGGCCAATTATTTAAGGAAAAAGTTGAAGCCATCATCAAAGTGACAAAGTTATAATTCATAGCAGGTGCTTTCTCGTCACTTTTAAATGAAAGTATATTGTTCAGCAGTCTTTTTATTCAGAAAGTTAAATCGTCTCTAGCTAAAACTGTTCAGTGTTTTTGTTATAATCAAATGTTTGTTATAGTTTGCAAATTGTAAATATGTATGTAAATTAGAGAAAATACATTCACAAATTAGGGAAATAAATGTTAAAGTTTCTTTCTCAACATTTAGAATGAACTTCTTCCTGATTTTAGAATCAAAACAGATTATCTCAGCAGAGCTAAGAGCTACCAAAATCTGAGCTGGAATTTAAGTTACATTTATTATAGGGATTTTTGTTTCTTAAGTTAATTTAAAATAATGTAATTTGATTAATATTTTCTTCTGCCTTTTTGGTGAATTTTATAAGAAGGTAGGCAAGTTTAGTTTAAAAGAGTTAAAAGTGGAAGACATTCTTGCAAAGAGGATGTACCAGGATTGTTCCTTGTTTACCGTAAGGCAGAATTTTCCAATTGCATGAATGTTTATTGCCACCTCTAATCTGATACTGGGAGCCCACAGTCAGATAGCCCAACCTTGGAAAGGTCCAGTGATAGGGAACATGTTACCTCCCAAGGCAGCCTTCTTTCTTCTTTGGTTCTTAACTTCTTATTTAGCTTTTATGTGAAATTAGGTATTATGGGTTCACTGTAGAGTTGGTGTTTAAATATTTCTATTTTTCACTGGACTTAATATACATTTTAAAGATGGTTGAAATTCCCTAATGCAAACATACTATAAGCCCATTTCCCTCTCTCAAAAAAAAATTTTTTTTTTTTTAAATGCAGATTCACATGCAGTTGTAAAATATCAGAGGAATCATGTTCTTATGTTCTGTTATCCCAGTTTCCGTCAGTTCAGAACCTGGAAAGTTGATATTCCCCCTTCTTTTTAGGAATGAGTAGAGATGGCCTCCTAATTCTGTGGGGGATGTTATGACTACATTGTGCTGACTACACTGAACTAGGAGAGCTAGAGCATTTTGGGAGAACCTGAAGGTGGGCTGGCTTTTTAGTGTAGAGCTAAACCAGAGAAATCAGCACAACTGCAGCATCCACATAGAACTAACCAGACAGCCCCTTCCCTCTCCTTCAATGATTCATTTTTCTTCCCAGACTCAATGTGGGTGGAGGAGATTGAGAAGGCAGATCTGGGCCCTCCACCTCTGCAGGACTTCCCCATAAACCACACCAGCTTTGGGCTTAGCTGTTTTTTATCGTGGAGATTTCATTTACTGTTTTATATGGAGGAGGGGAAAAACAAGATTTTTTAATGCTTTCATCACTGGATTCGTTCAGTAAGCTTTATTAAAACTAGAGACATCAGGCTTAGATTAGAAAGTATTTATACAAGTCATCATCAATATACTGCTATCCAAGAACGTTAAGTTCTTCAAACATGTATAAAAAATTTTGTCAATTTACAGAATAAAAATAAACACTCAAGGTTGGTTTTAACACAAGGTTGGCAGTTCGTACTACCAGACGCTCCTCAGAAACCCTATGTAGGGTCAGAGTCGGAACCTACTCGATGGCACTTAACAACTACAAGGTGGTGGTGGTTGGGTCTCATAGCAGCCTGTGTATATAATAAAACATGTAGCGTCTTTGAATTTTGTCATTAGAGTCAATAATACCAGGAAAAAATGTGTTAACACTTTGTCTTGACAGTTTTAATAGATAAAGACCAGAGTCCGAAGTGGAAACCAGCTGATCTAAAAGACGTTACTGATGAAGATGTGAATACTCACTTTAAATCTCTGGGAAGCAATGATTTGAAATTTTGAGGTGACTGTCCTTTTAAGCTATTATTTTGTAGCAGGTGATAGCAAACTATGGCCTATGGGCCAAATCTGGCCTTACCCATTTTTATACAGTCTGTAAGCTAAAAATGGTTTCTTTTTAAATACTTCAGAGGGAAAACTCAGACATTTCACACCAAATGAAAATTACATGGAATTCAAATTTGTGTTGAGAACTAGTTTTATTAGAACATAGCTATAATCACTTGTTTGTCTTTGACAGCTTTTGTACTGCTATGGCAGAGTTAAGTAGTTGCAACAGAGACAGGTGGCCTGCAAAGTCTAAAATATTTACTATCTGGCTCTATTCAGAATAAGTTTGCCAACACCTGTTTTAGAAGTTGTGACAATGTGGAAGGCCTTTGGAGATTCTCTTTAGTATATTGAACTGAAGTGGGAACTTTATGTTTTGGGCAGTGGCATACATGTTTATTAAATAAACTTATATGTAGATTACAAGAAATAAAAAATCTGAAAATGTTTTGAATAATTTGTTATGCTTCATCAGATTTCTTCCACATAAATTTTATGTATGCATTACTGTAGCAGAAGTGATCCTTTTATAGCACTAGAAATCTCAGGCAAAGATTAAAAGCTTGGTAAGGTTATCTCTTCAACATTCTCATCTTTTTCCTTCCCTAAAGTAATCAGGTTTCCATCCAATAAGAAGACACTATTCCTTTCTATTTGCAATTTTTGCTAATCTGGCAGAATAAGGAATTAGGTAACTCCAGTGTCTAAGACAAGGACACTCTACTTTTTGCAGTTTACATCAAATTTGTGTGTAATATGCTGTCTTTAAGGAGCTCTGGTAGTGTAGTTATTATGAATCGGGCTGTGAACTTAAGGTCGGCAGTTCGAAACTATCAGCTGTTTTGTGGGAGAAAGATGAGGCGTTCTGCTCCTGTAAAGATTTACAGCCTCGGAAACCTTGTACAGGGTTGCTATGAGTCGGAATCGACTCTACGGCACATAGCAACAACAACAACAAACATGTTGTCTTTACCAGATGGGTCAATTCAAGAGAAGAAAAATTATTTGAAAATTTAGAGGACTTGTGTTCAAAATACAAATGCCTTCAATAATTTGTATTGACAAACAGTTGGTGTTTTTCTAAAGTATACAGGAAACTAGAAGTGTTCCAGACACCAAAACCTTAACGGTAGGTAAGGATGATTTTTTAAAATTTAAAGTCAATTGATCACTTATTTTGTCACTCAGTATAGTTTTCCTCTTCATCCCAACCCCTTTGAATACTAAGAATTTCAAGCTTGTAAGAACACAAAGCAACAGAGCTGAGGACAGTAAAGATTATTCTCCATGTTGCTCTCAGAACAAGAAATTGCAGTTCAAAAGGTATTGTTATTTCTCGGTTCTTGATTTGAGATGAAGCATTGTTTTTCCAGAAACTTTAGAGAGCAGATTTGGACTAAGGGATACATTTCTATTTATATTTGTATAGCACCCACACTGGGCCTTAACCAATAAATGATTTGTATATATTGATTTTCACTCTATATTTGTTATGAATAAAAATGTTGAAATCTGTTATGTTAAAAAATTTTACTTTAAATAAGAACTCAGAACTATTTCATTGTTGTTGTTAAGTGCCGTCGAGTCGGTTCCGACCCATAGCGACCCTGTACAGGGTTTCCGAGGCTGTAAATCTTTACGGGAGTAGAAAGCCTCCTCTTTCCCCCCCCCCCCTCCCCGGAGCGGCTGGTAGTTTCGAACTGCTGG